TTAACTCCAGAGGTTCCTTTCACTTAATTGACAATTGCCTCTTTCTACTCAACTGAGAATCAAAAACACGCACGGCTTCAAAACAGTTCACAGGCCCGATGGCGGGTGCGGTGGGCTTGCTCCAGGCAGGCCGGCTCTTCCTCTGACAGCTTGGGAAGGCTTTTCCCGTGGCTTCAGATGGCTGCTGGAAAATGACTACTCTCACAGCTGACTCCCTGGAGGTGGCCATGACATCAGGGTTCAAGGTCAAAATTAAGACTTAAAAAAAAAACTGTTATGAGGAATGTTGTTCCTTTGGTGCATTCACTGAGTGTCACAAAAGGGAGTCTGCCCAATGGAGGGTCCCCCGCATCGCCCTGCAGCCCCAAGAACTGAGAAACGGCACCTTGGTGGGCACCTCAGAGGAAGGACCAGCGTGGGGGCCTGCAAGAAAAGGACCCTCAGCACGTGACCACTGCAGTGATTATCAGGGCTGTCCCCTCCCGATGCACACCTCTCTGCCCACCTTTCTTCAATGCAAGCAGACATCTGCTTCTCTCAAAACATCAGCCACTTGACCAAATAAACACAAAACTTCCTAAAGTTGTAGGCAGTGTTTTTCCCATAAATCTCTAAGAGCTTTCTGTGAGTCCTGCTAGCACTTAAATCCTTAAACACAAAACCATGAGCTCCAGACACCCTGGCCAAAGCTGAGCCAGGCGCAGTCCCTCTGAGGTGTCTGCATGACTGGCGGGGGTGGTTGCATGCCCTGCACACTTTCTGTATTTCTCATTGCTAACTAACCCCAGGAATGCCAATCCCTTGAAGGTCCAAGCACGAACCAGGGACGGGAATAACAGCTAAATACAGCTGGCCTGTCTGAAGAGGGAAGAAAAGACTCCAAGTGGAAGGATGATGAGGCAAAGACGGTCTCTACTATTCTTTTTTATCCTCTGAAACCTCATGGGACAAAATATCATCTCAAAAGGTGTAGTGAGGAGGTTCTGCGTGTTCACACCAAATAAAAATAATGCGCTTCCAATTGTGTCAGAATGACGAGATAAACTGACCAAGATTTCCAAAAAAATCCCAATCCTTCAAGTGGATGCTGCCCAGTGCAAGGCAAGACCTGAAGGGTTTCTGCGGCCTGAACATCGCGGGCAGGAGGGGATGGTCAGTCTCTCTGACCAGGGCTGTGCGAAGGGCAGGGAGGAGGCCAAGGCTTATGGCGGTGTATCTGTACTCAAATACAGAGATTAAAAAATGCTAAAGAGAAAGAAAGAAAGGAGCGCACACAGCTGCCGTCCCCTAAACAGACCTCCCATCTGCCATCCACGATTTGCATGTCACCTTCTCCGGGCTCATTTGTACTTCATTAACTGCCATTGACTTAACAAGATTTATGCAAATGGCACCATAGGAGCTCCCTAACTCCCACTGCAATCAAGTGATTATGTATGTACAACTCTCCACAGCAATGAAAAATTAATACGTGACAAGCCCACTTGCCGCTGAGCCGGGCCTCTGGCTTTTATTTTTCTTGCTTTGCCTTTTAATTTTTACTCGAAAAGGCCTTATCAGTAAAAAGAAGAAACCGAAGTCTCTGAACCAATCTCCTCCAAGACCCCAGGAAGGACAAAAAAAGCAGCAGACCCAGGTCCACAAGAAATGAAGTTACATTCCAGAAACTAAGTCATATTCTTGACGGGGAATCTTTGGGAGAAGAAAGAGAAACTCACTGACCATCACAATTCGGCTAGCTCCCACACGTCAGCGGGGGTGGCTGGCGATTGGAGTGAAGCAGATACCAGACGGAAGTGAAAGGGGTTAACATAAGCCACTGCAACATGTCCAATCTGTAATATCAGGGGTTAGGTTGAAGGCTGCCTTGCCTGGGTCCTAAACCATCCACTGTAAGACTCCTGTCAGGGGGAAAAAGTCTCTGCATTAGCAATTCCATGCAGGTTGCTGAGGTTCTAAAGCGATTCCTCTGCCATTAGGCAAAGGTCCATTAGCCAGCGTGTAAGGCTTCGATCATGTAGACGGAGTCTTTCACATGGGCTGAGCCCTAAGACAAAGTTCTCTGCAGCTGGGAGAAGAGAAGAGAACACGTTTTCGGCATACACAGTAAGGCAGGGAACGGAGAGACCCCTCCCACCCGGAGAAGGGCTGAGCATGGCTGTGTCATCCCTGGAGAAACATGTTGCTGCTGGCAGTCTTAGAAGTTTCTTTACACAGTCATCAGATATTTCTGTCTGAGGTCGGGTTCGCTTATTTAATTTAAAACATGTAACTTTGCTTCCTGAGCTTTCTGAAGGCTTTTCATCAACGGGCAGTGGCAAGAGTGCAGACACGGGGGCAGAGAGGCCTGGTCCAAATCCTCGGACCTACTTCCTAGCTGCCTGGTCTAGGGCCCTACCTCCCTCTGTGTTTAAAATAAGGAGATCACAGCTACCACAACTGTGGCGATGCTGAGGATTAAATGGGGTGCCGTATGCACAGCACTTACGTAATAAGCACTCATTTAATTGTTCATTTATTCAACAAATAAATCAGCTGAGTTTCTAGAATATGCCCATCAGGCTCCATCCCCCGCAATCCTCTCATTTCATTTCCACGCTGAAGTCATCACACCAGGTGGGTCAGGAATTCAGGCTACCTGGAGTGATCTATGTTCCTTTAGAAACATGAGCACACACAGGGATGTGAGATAAATCGATACCACCGTCTGCAAACCCACATCAATCCACCCGATGCACACAGAGGCTTTGACAAGGGTGCCCTGAACATGACTAATTTAAAAATCCAGTTTTGCTAACATTTAAAAATTCTCTGTGGAACCTCCACATCTAGCTGCTTCAAGGGCTTCAGACATCATCCAGTTCCCCATTTTACAGATGAGGCACCCGAGGCCTGGGGAGCCAGCCGCGGGAGGGAGCTGTCTGTGGCAGTGCGAGGCGGGCAATTAGGAGGGACAAGGAGCTCCCTGTGCCCAGGAGTCACCGGGAAATCAGACCATGATTTAGATTTCAACGAGATTACTTTGAATATTCACAATCGAAAGGCTTCCAAGGACTGGATAATACTCATTTTACGCTTGATGGTCAACTCCAATCTGCACACATATTGAAAAGCTAGCCTGCAAAGCTAGTCCCCTCCACAGATGAGCAGGGTACAAATTGAATGAAGGTTCCAATTATACCGGGGGCCGCCTGGCTCTGCACAGACGGACTCCTGCCAGGCTGGTGAGCACTCCCACCCAAATCAACCACAGACAGGCATTAAGGAAATGGCCTATTATTAAGTTTTAATACTCCCCAGTTTATGAAAAAGAAAATAATATGTTAAATGATTTTTATAATTCTAGTTGAAAAAGGTTATCAATGGCATAAAAATTACACATGAAAATTAGCTTATGCAGATTTAGGTTATAAATAAATGCACCAAGAAAGAATAAACACCTACGTGCAGAGCCCTCTAAAGAACCTGTTTTATAGTGGAACCGCCACCCACCATCAAAGCAGAAGGTTCTGTGGTTGCTGTTGTCTTTGAATATATGGAGGGAAGAGAATTTCTACTAAAGGTGCCCCGTGCCAAACCACACATTTGCAGCCTGGTAGCTGAACGTATGTCTTACACAGATGCATGAGGACCTCGGTGACCACCTGTAGGCCTCCTCCTTCTCTGCCTGGCAAAGGCAGGACCTATGAGGCAGGAAGTAGAAAGCCTGCTCCTAGGCAGGGTCAGTGACGCTGTTGGCAGAGGTGTGGTTTTTGCAATAGTTCCTGAGCTCCTTGGGAAACTCTTTGGACTCCCTCCTCTGGTCTCACCCAAGATGCTGTGGTCCTATTTAACCCCTTCCTCTCCCAGGGCTTCACGATGACACTGCCCGGCCCCGCTCTAAGGCTTGTTCCTATTTGCTTCAAATGGACGAAACCTGCATCACCAAAATAATCCAACTCCCTTTGTGGAAAGACTCTACTCTTTTTAAGGGCAGCCAGTGTCTACACAGTTCCTAAGGGATTAGTGATGCCGTGCAGGTGCCCGCAGAGGAGAAGAGGGCAAAGCAGTGAGCTGGACCAGAGGTGCACATGGTCACAGGCCCCGTGCCTGAGAGGCGGAGCCATTCCCCTATCCACAGAGGCTTTTGCTCAAGGAAGTACTCTAAATCAATTGGCTTTAACAAACCAAACGGTGACATTTCCAGAAGCCACTGTGTGGGGTTCAACTCTATTTTTATTCTCCTTGGGAATCGAACCACAATCTACGTCACATATGAACTCCAGGGCTTTTTTTTTTTTTTTTTTTTTTTAAACTGGAGATATAAAGTGATTTAGAATCTGGTTTCTGGGCTAATGAAACCCTGTTCCAGGCTAGCAACATAGGCCAAAACAAATGCTTGAATTCAAGTCCTGTTGTGTAAGGAGGAAGTTTAATTAAGGCCCCACATTACAGCTGTAAATGTTCCTTTATGTAATAAGGTCTAAATGAAACTGAACCTAATCAAAGTTACAATTCCTTCATTAGCAAATTACAAACAAGAGCACACAGCTGACACACCGGCTATGATTATCACAACTAATTGCCTCGTTGCAAACCAGCCTGAAACAGTGTTCAGATGTCCGTCTGTGAGAGCAAATTAGGGCCACGTCAGGCTGTTCCTGTGATCACAAGGGGCTCTTGTAGGCGATCTGAGTTACTCCTGTTGCCCGGCGGCCCGAGGCCCAATCAAAGCCGCGCTACCAAGGCAGCCTTTGAAGACTCTCAGCCTGGAAACGCACTCCATATGCAGGCGGGCAGCCCGTACTTCATTAGGTCTGTTGTCTCCGTTCCCTCTTCTCATTCTAATGATCCCATTTGAATACACACAGGAACTCTGCTAATTGATGTCAAGTGAGAGACTTCTACATTCATCAACAGAGCACATCAGACAGACCTTGGCGCGCACACCGGCATCATCTCTGGGCAGACCTGAGGTGTATCTCTGGCGACAGGGAGGGGAGGATGGGGACGTTGCTCACCTGTTTAATTGGGATGGCTCTGCCGCTCCCGATGCTGTCCGCACGGCTCTCTAGGCCTTTCTTCTCTTTGTCTGGGTCGCTCCCTTTCCGAGACTGCAAGGCAAAAGGAAAGTTGGCATCTGGGTAAGGGCTGAGGTTCACAGACAGGGCTCTGCCCCTCTTTGTAGAATTTCTGCCAATACACATTTAGAAAACACGCATGATCTATGTGTGAGCACACAGACACGTCCAACAAGCTAAGTAGTTCATCTCCACTGACTCATCATTTTAAAGAGGATCATCTAAACTTTCCCCCGGACTTTTCCACTGCAAAATTGCCTTTTAATTCTTTTCTTAAAAGTTCAAAATTCAATTACTGGGAACCAATGGGCCATACAAGAGAGTAACACCCAACAGAAAAACACATTCGAAAGCCACAGTTAACACAGCCGAGGGAAAAAGGGACTGCTCAATATTTATTTGGAAAATCTACATAAACATACGTATTTAATTAACGTTTGAATGATTTAAAAATTCTGTTAACTAGTCAGCTGTGTGACTTTACGGCACACCCTTGATTAGTATCAAGGTGCAGCTGACATTTCCTTTTATTGCTTCTGGGTGGTTGGAAAATGGCAAATTCGAAGTTAAGCTAATGGACAATACCACAAAAAATAACGAAGGGAAAGAAACCCCTGAAAATCGCCTTTTGACAAAAGGTCAGTATTTGGGAAATAATGAACGGCTTTGTCTGCCAAGGTCCTAAGTCAATTATCTCCAAGGCACTGCTGATGCGCTATGAACGACCGAGTCAGCTGGTACAGAGAGGGAAGGGTGACGACCTTTAACCCAGGGAAGCCCCAACCAAAAGCGCACCTTGACTTGGGGAAAATTGAAGGAGCTCCACCGTCTCCGTCTCGTCTCTCCATGGCACGAGAAAGCGTGAGCACAATGATTTTCTGACAGATTTATTTTATTATGAGAGAAAGATCGGAGACTCGTCCTCCTTAATAACTGTGCTGACAAGTGACAACTTCACTCCATTACTTTTCAATGGGAACATTACTCACGCAATATTGAAAATGGAGAAACATTTTCATGTGCTTTTCAAATCTGAGATGATATATGAAATGAACAGACTTTGTGGTGTCCACTGCTACAAGGAAAAGCTAATGGAATCCAGGTTCAAAGGGATGCGAGATGGAACAGCTGATTTAAAAAATACACACATTAAAAGGGGCAATGTCATGGGTCATAATAAAAACAAGGGCTGATGGGACACACTCAGGATTCCAGCAGAGGCTGTTACCAAATTAAGGAGGAGGACAAGGAGCACAGTTCCCATGATGGAAACTCAGATCCAGCACTTCAAAGCGAGCTACTCTCCTGGGTAGCTGTGCTCATTAGGAAACATGCTTCTCAGATGGTGAGAAGAGCTGATGCTTATTGAACACCTACTATGTGCCAGGCACTGTGCACTTGTATCCCCTTAGGATGGTAGAGATCTAGAATGAGATGACAAGGAATGTATCAAGCAACAAACAGAAAGTTGCAGATGAATATACGACACAGGGTTTAAACTTTGGGGCCAGAAGGAAAATAGAGATATTTATTAATTCCTTGTCAAGTTAAGGGCTCATTTTTCTCTTTAATTAATTCTTAATAATGTAGAGTAAGAGCTACACAATAGCCTTAAATTCTTTTATCCACATCCCAATCGACGAGAAACCTGGCTCCTGAGGTTCCTAGTTTGAAAATAAATTTCAAATCACACAGTAATAACATTAAAAATTTTTTTTTTTAGTTAACAAAGAATATTTAAGAGTACTCTGGGAGTTTTACAATTTCTAAATTTCTAAATTTGGAAATCCATCTTCATTATTCTCCATTAACCAGAATGATTAACAAAACAAACATTAAAAAATTAACATCCTCCTCAAGGCAGCACATCTGTCCCCCCAGCCACTCCAATCTCACAGCAGAATTTCAGATTCCACTTAAAATGGGAAGAGAGAGCTAAATGCACTGCTGCTAACACCTTAGAGCATGAGCTGGGAAGAAGTAACCTCAGCATCTCATCACGCACTCTGAGATACAGGAGACTGAAACCTCACTAAGACTTCACTGCAAAAATAAAACAAAATTTCCTGACAACTTTAACAATTTGCTGGAGACAGTGAAAAAACTAAGATTTCCAGGAAAGAACAGCGGCAAGCTGTGAGGCCAAAGAGTCTGCTGCAGCTGAGCCCCACAACTACTTAGCCGACATCGCGCTGTATCTGTAAAGTTGAAATCCGACAACCAGACTAAATAACAAATCCAATGGACACAGACACCATAGCACGTACAAATTCCCAGTGAAGTCTCCTTTCTCTGCCAACTGGGGAGACATCCTTCTGTGATGCTGGAACGGCTCCGAGGAATCATCAGACACAGGGCAGCCCTCAGCGCCCACTGCGTCTGCCAGGAGTGACCCTGCCCTGCATCCAGCCTGCTGCACACCTCCAGAAATGTCACAAGAGCAGATCACACCCATCCCAGAGGGGCTGCAGATTTAAAGTCAATGCACAGCAAGCCACCATAGTGGCTGCTTGGCCTCCAACAAACACTCAATGCAGAGGAAAGAAAGACTGAGGAAATCCAGTCGTCACCTGCTTCTTTACAAAAATGTTTAACCTCCCCTGACGTGGTGAAGGAAGCTATGAGGGACACCCCCATCAACTACCTGCCTACAGGGAGAAGAGCATCACTGCCAAGAGCCCTCCGTATCAAACAGAAACCTGCTTTCCCCCTTTCAACCAGTGGCTACGTCAGTGGCGGCTGGAACACACTATGGGAGGTACCCAGGAGCACCTTCTCTGCAAAAACAATGAAATGCCATTCAAACAATTCTATTCACACTATGAATCTGGCTGCCTTATTTTTTTATAGCAAGTTTCTGAGCTGGGCAACGTATATTCACAATCTTTAGTTCCTGCGTATGCTTGGCTCTGTTTAATGGTATCAGCATTATATGGTAAGCTTTGAGAAAAAAATCACATAAATGACATCATTATTATAAAGCTTGAAAATGGACAAAGCAATGCAATGTATGGTTTCAGGACTCACACTGGAGCAAGTTTACAGCATAGACACAGATAATATATGCCAAATTCAGGTTCGTGCTGATCCCTGGGCAGAGAGGCAGGAGAAATGCATTGTGGAGTCACTTGAGGAAGCTGCAACTTTTACTTAGGATTTGCTTATTTCTTGCAGTAGCAGCGTGGCAGAAAAGGGCTTGTATCTGATGAGGTATGTGGTGGGTACACATGTGTTTTTTATTTCTGTATGTTTGAAAAATTTTTCTAATAAAACATTTTAACCACATGTAAACTAGGGCCACTAAACTAACTGCTCCAACACCACATATTACCAAACCAGGGATTAAATGGACATAGTCTTTTAATGTTTGTTTTCTTCAGTGATTTCTTTTCAAAGAAGTAAGTGAAATAAAATATAACTTAGTGTTTGATTAGTAAAAGTATAATTCCTACTGCAAATGTAACATAATTTGCTACTATTGCAGAGATTTTGTTTGTACTATTTTGTAAAAAAGCGTAATTCATTTTGTTTAAAAATTGTCTATGAAAATATGCAAACAAACATCTGGGAGCACAAAACGTTAGCCCAGAGCAGTACATTACAGTCTACTTTATAAAATAGATAAGAACAGTGTCAGAAAAATGATGCGTGTACTACTTAATTAACTATGGCCTCTTTACGACGTTCTAATAAATAAGGTGGATAGTGCCCCTGCAGCTGGCTCTTACAATCCCAGGCTGCATGGATTCTTATTCACTCAGATCGTCTGCATACCATGCATCTGTCCTCCGACTAGACACTTCCAAATAAATAGCCATTTTGACAGTTTATGCCTAGAATTACCAACAACTGCCAGGGATGAATAATCTATTAAATGTTACGTATTTAAAAGTAGAAGAAAACTGGTAATGATAAAAATTTAATTTCTTAATCGCTAAAATTTCAAAATTAATTTGCCTTCTTTTCGTTCCTTGGATGACACTGACATCTAGTGGAGTTACTATTTCCAGGATCTTCAGCTTAAGAATACACCGTGTACATCACCACCACCATCACCACCACCACCACCACCATGATCACCACCACCACCACCACCAGCACCACCACCAGCACCACCACCACCATCACCACCATCACCACCACCACCACCATCACCACCACCACCATCACCACCATCACCACCACCACCACCATCACCACCATCATCACCACCACCACCATCACCACCATCATCATCACCACCACCATCACCACCACCACCACCACCACCACCACCATGATCACCACCACCACTACCACCATCACCACCACCATCACCACCACCACCACCACCATCACTACCATCACCATCACCACCACCACCATCATCATCATCACCATCATCACCAGCATCATTTTGTTCAATGTCAAACCCAGTGAGGACCAATATATGAGTCTCTGCCTGGAATTTTCACCATCCTTTCCTTAAATGCCACAATGCAAACCTATTGCAGTGGTAGCTTCTTTTCTGACTCCAAATTTCTATTCCCACTAATGCCAGTGGGGCAGCTGGATTCAATTTTTGATCTGATCTCAAATTTGGTTTTCAAGGTTAAGGAGAAAGAGAACACACACTGGTAACACCCAGACCCATAGGCAGGCCATTATTACTACACGACACGTTAATGGTGAAATAATGGTGATTTTTGGTCACTGTAACAGTGAGTTTTTATTGGTTTCTGCATTGCATCTGCCCTGCCTGGCCTCTTCATGGATGCCTGTCAGTGCACCTGTGTGTCTGCAGCGTGAATCCACAGGAACAAGGCCCCTTTAGCTCTCAGTTCTGTCCTCTCCACCTAGTGTGCAGAGCCCCTTCTCCTTCACCCTAAACTGCCTTCCCTTGAACATGGGTTGACTCTGGCAATGAGTGTTCCTCCCAGACAGTGAGCAAAACCAGGGCTGTGCAGAGAGCAGATGTTAAGTCAGTATTTAACTGAGCTGCTATTTTGATTCTCTTGGCTTAACGTGTTCCCTTCCCTAAGTCACCTGGGTTGTCAGTTACCCAGTGGGACACTACTTTCTAGCACACTCCAGGTCCAGAGCTTATAAAGGGAGGGGATGGGAAAGTGCTGATATAAATATTCCCATTTTTAAAGATACTTTGTGGTTTTTAACTTTCTCTCCTTAGAAGACAAAGCAAAGTCAACAAGCACTGAATGTAGCCCTCAGAAGGCGTCTGGGAATGAGCGCTCGCCCCACTCCACTCCCTTAACAGAGACACAGAAGGTGTTCTCGACCACCAGGATGCCGAGCCCGCCCCTCCTGCAGGGCACAGGCCACCTGCCCACAGCCCACCCTCTCAGTCCAGCTGCATCTCTGGCGATTGGTTTCTCCAGCCACTGAGTCACTGTGCAGCCTGTTCTGGGAGGAAACACGTCAACCCAGAGCCCCCCAGCCTGGATGTAGAGAGGGGCTGCAGGTGGCTGATGGAGCTGGGAAGCAGCTATTTAGGTGACTGCTGCTGTTCTTGCTGTGTCTGAAGAAACTGTCCAATAAAACATCTTATCCATGGGCTAATTTAAGCATGAGAGATACTCACCTGTATTTTGCAGAAACCTAAACACCCACCTCCCAATCTATCGCATGTGCCTGACACTATCAGGAATCATTTTATAGCATCAATGGCAGTGAGAAAATAAGGGAAGCAATGCCACCAGGTCTCTACTGTCTCTTCCAGGAAGTCTTCCCGGCAGCCCCAAGTACTATGGTTTCCAGCTGAGAGAGGTCAGGTAATTTGCCTAAGGCCAAACATCTGTCAGCAGTGGAGGCCAGGCTCTGAGCCTGGTCTGTCTGATCAGTCCTCATCCTGCTGCCCAGCAGTGGCCTCTGTGGGAGCTGATCTGGCGCAAGGCACCCAGCGAAGGCAAGGGGAGGCTGGGGAGGAGGGGGTGTGTGCTGTTGGCAACCGCTTTCACAGTCATGAGTACCCAGGGAGAGACTGCATCAGATATGCGGCAGAGAGGCAGGGGATCTCCCAGATGTGGCAGGAACCGCAACATCACATCAAGTTCCTCTTCACAAAGGGGCAGCAACTCAGACTCCCAGTCACCCCTGTAGAGTCTTCCTTTAATCCAATAGGACATATTAAGCTTTGCTTCTGGGTCAGCAGTGATCAACCAAAAATTCAAGTCAGATGGTTTAAAACAGGACACCACTGACCTGGGGGGCTGGGCATTCCCTGCTGCGAGGGGCCGCTCTGTGCACTGCAGAATGCTCTGCAGCACCCTTGCTTGCTACCCAGGACTAGACCTCTGCAGTACCTTACCTTCCCACTCTCCTATTCCTGTTGTAACAGCCCGAAGTTTCTCCAGACACTTCCAAATGTCCTTGGAGAGTAAAACCACCCAGGCTGAGGCCCACTATTTAAAAAGCATATACTTGTCATGCACAGAGGTGATCCAGGGAGAGAGTGTTCTTCTCAAGTCAAAGGGCTCAGTCAACTGACAGCAGCTATGTCTGGAGTTTGGGGCTCAACTATGTAGACTCCAGATTGATTGGTAATGTCTGCTATGCACAGGGAAGAGACAGGATGGTAGCATTTTTGTCTCCTCTGTAGTTCAGGGATTCTTTGCATTTTAATCACCCAGGGAGTTTTTAAGTACTAAACATGCTGGCTGTGCACTATGGCTCATGCCTGTAATCCCAGCACTTCAGGAGGCCAAGGTGGAAGGATGGCTTGAGCCCAGGAGTTCAAGATTACCCTGGGCAACACGGTAAGACTCTGGCTCTTAAAAAAAAAAAAAAAAATTAGCCACACATAGTGGTGCATGCCTGTGGTCCCAGCGACTCAGAAGGCTGAAGTGGGAGGATTTGAGGACTGAACCACTGCACTCCAGTCTAGGCAGCAGAGTAAGTACCTGTCTCAAAAGAGAAAAAAAAGGAAGTACATATGCCTGAGTGCACCCACAGATGATGGATTTATTGATCTGAACCCAGACATCTCATCTCTGGTTTGAACATGCTCTACAGAAAAAAAACCAAGTAGAAAGCCTCATGGCAATGAGCCTCCAGAAGGCATCTCTCCAACCCCCGCCTCCATCCCGAGGCACCCCAGCAGCAGCAGAAGAGGGCCTGTGGACCATAACAGCTTAGGTATCATCTGAATGGTTAGAGGCACACCTCTGGGAATCTTGGCAGAGTTTTGCCATCCCTTTGTATCCAGTGTGACATGTCTTTAGCTGGAGCCACAGGGTAACAAGTGCCTTTATACACACCCACAGCTCTTCATTTCTGACATACGAATCTATACTCGTCCACACCAAGAAACTCCCATTCTACTCGACATCCAAATCTTTTCTTATCACAATTTTCTCAGTGTTTCACAGAAATCAATGCTATTCACATTGATATAGTTGAGATTCTACAAATACCATTGAACCCTGTGGCAACCAGGTTTATGTTAATGGACACTCTTCAGAATTGCACTCAAATCTCCACCCAGGGTTGACACTCACGGTGAACAGGTTGGACCGGCGCTTGGACTGCTTGCGGACAGGCGTGGGCGTGTTGGCAGTGGGAGGAACGTCGATCCGAAGTTCCTTCTGGCTGGTGCTGGGAGTCGATGGAACGGAGGAGGAATAGTCGCTTAAACTCCCACCGCCATTACTTGTCTGAAATGATTAAAACCCAAGGTTTTACTAACACCACTCAGGAACCCAAGGTCTCCACTGAAGCAAGGTCATAACCAACAAGTTAGCATGAACCCCATGGAAGGGACGCGTGAGATAAGCTGACTTGCATTCATTGCTTTGCCAGGTCTATCAGCAGCAAGGCTACAGAGTCTCATCCTGGAATATGCCAATCATCTTTCTCAGTAGAGTCTTCTAAGAAAAGCAGCAGAAGAAAAGGAATTCTCTTTCATTTAACTTAAAAGATTTCTGAGAGTTCAAATTTGATGGTTTTCTCTTTCCTCTGAAAATGAAAGGGGTTGCTTAAATGGATTCTGTGGTTCCTCCACTGCTCTAGATCAGTAACCACAACTAACATTCTGAAAACGACACCCGGAAAATCTGAGTGTTCTTGAAAGATATTTCAAGACTCATAGAAAACTAAACATAGCAAGTGAAGACATGTTTTTTTTTGAGACAGGGTCTCACTCTGTCACCCAGGCTGGAGTGCAATGGCCTAATCACACTCACTGCAGCCTAGATCTCCTGAGCACAGGTGATCCTCCCACCTCAACCTCCCAAGTAGCTGAGACCACAGGCACAGGCCACCACACCCAGCTAATTTTTCTATTTTTTATAGATATAGAAATGTAGTTCTGTCATGTTGCCCAGGCTGGTCTTGAACTACTGAGCTCAAGCAATCTGCTCGCCTTGAGCTCCCACAGTGCTGGAATTATGGGCATGTGCCTCTCAGCCCAGCCAACATTAACACTCATGACTGTGCCTTTCTAGGCTCTGACAATACGTGCCGTAATTTACTGGCCTCCGACGCAAACTGAAAGCGTAACACCAAACCTTTTCACCATATCCTTAAAAAAAAAAAAAAGTGCCAATGGAATGCCTGCCCAAGAAGCATAATTAGAAAGCAAGCACAGGCAAAAACAAAGCCAACTGTTTCCTTCAGAGGTTTTTGGTTGTGTTCTTCAAAGTGACAATTATTTTGTTTGCTTCCAAGTAAATAATTTTGCAAAATGTTGTTATGGAAAGACAGCGGTGTCTATGGGACCTAAGGGACATGGTAATTACAACTGAATGCTGCTACCAAATTTAAGGATAAAGCAAGATCGGCCATTAAGATTCACTCAGAACTGTTCAACCTATAAGCAGACAAGGACCACGACCAGAGCAGGGTGGTTTAAATCACCAGCGAGGACCGCAGCACACACCTCCCGCCACCCCCGGGCCAGCATGCCTCATAACACAGGCAGCATGAAGACAGAAAACATTAAAGAATGATTCCCATAAAAATCACTTGGCCACAGCAGTTTCTGAAGAAAATGTTAAGTCAATTACAGCATGCTGTTACTTATAAAGTTGAAAAGAAAAAAAAAAAAATCAACCTTAGCATTGGCTGGGAACACTGTTTGCACGTTCTCTTTGCTGCTAAGGTGTCTTTCAGTCTGACTTCTCACGTCGCTCAACGTACCTGGCTGATGTGCACGGCGGACACCTGGGCCGAACAGACGGAGGAATGGCTGGGAGAATTGGGGAGCGACTTGCAGGGGCCTATGGACAGCTGCTGCTTCTTCCTCGTGGCAACAATCTTCTGGGCAACTGGTGGGCACACAGACAAAAAGAAATCCATGTGAATCAGTTTCCAAATTCAGGAACAGAGCGGAGACCATCAGTTTGTCATTTCCTTCTTTCAGGGTAATAGCATTCCTGGTTTTTCACTGAGCACAAGACAACCGCAATAAATAGGACATTTTCCAGAGTCTCCTCCCAACCCCTGCCCTCCATCAGCTGGACATGGCCAGGTACACAAGCTCCGGCCGGCGGGATGACGGCAGAAGGACCACGAGGCAGCTTTCAGGGATCTTCCCAGAGAGCTTCCCTTTGCCCACATAATTATATGTTTTTCCTACTTAATGCCTGAAATGCACAAATGTTACGTAGCCTCTGCAGCATTGTGGAACACAAGGTGACACTGGGAACGGAAGCCACATGGGAGAGAGATGGAGCCGGACCCTGACTCCGGTCCCCTGACTCCACAAGGGCCTCAGCAGCCCTGCACAGACCACCTCAGAGGAATGGGAAGCAAAAAAAAAAATACACACCTATCTAAGTTATTCTAATAAAATGATCTTTTTTCCAGTTACTTGGAACAAAAATAATCCTAAATAAGGCAGGGCAATTTAACCAAACCCCTTGTAAAGACAAAAATCTTTATTTTCCCCAAAGCCTGAAGAATTAATATATATATATACACATACACACACACACACACACATATATGCATTTATATATATGCATATACACACACACACACACACATATATATATACACACACATATATATACACACACACATATACATACATATATGCATTTATATATATGCATACACATACACACACACATATATACACACACACACACACACACATATATATATATATACACACACACACACACATATATATATATACACACACACACACACACGCACATATATACTTTATTTTTTTACTGCATTTTAGGTTTGGGGTACATGTGAAGAACAATGAAAGATTGTTGCATAGGTACATACATGGCAATGTGGTTTGCTGCCTTCCTCCCCATCACCTATATCTGGCATTTTCCCCCATGTTATCCCTCCCCAACTCCCACCCCCTGCTGTTCCTCCCCTGGCTCCCCCCAACAGACCTCAGTGTGTGATGCTCCCCTCCCTGTGTCCATGTGTTCTCATTGTTCAACACCCATCTATGAGTGAGAACAGCTATCATATAGAATTATACTCAAGGACATGTAATTATATTAAAGACCTTTTTTATTTAAATATATGACTGAACACATTGGAAGTTTATCTTAATCAATACAAATCTAAATTCAACCAGCCATAACTTCTCTTGGCAAATAGGCTCACTGATAAAGCATACTGAATTTAATTGGAAAGGAAGTCAACGATTAGAAAACTCTTCCTACACCCATAGGTGTCACTGCCGAAGAGTAAATACAGTTTTTATTTGAATAGATGTGTGTCTTTGGGGACTAGCAGCAATTAAGTTCAATGATATTCAATCCTTGTCTTTGCCTAGATAGTTGCTATTTTCAAAGATGTCCACGGAAAGGAACACATCATCTCTCCCCAGCAATAGGTGATAATATAGACGAGGCTCATATAGTGTTTGCAGATAATTTCTTTTCCAAATGAATAAAATTTTAATAAGAAACTGGTTTGTCCACAGCCTATCGGTTTCATGTAAATGAATGATAGTATAAATATGATTAAGTGAAACTGCAATCTATAAAAAATGGCTCACAGAGAGGAAGAAGCAGCTTCATTAGTTACATCCCACCTCCAATAGGCCTCTTATCATCCTGAAAGGATGATATCAATTAATTTATCTTCCGGTAGTGTATTGATCATAGCCTTCATCAGCTAATCATGTTTAAATTACAGAGGAATATCACAGCACTCTGTCACTTCTGAACCATTGGCATATTGATCTGGGGTCTTGAAGACATTTATTAGAATATTTTAAAAGTCATTATATGAACTCAAAAATAAAACCTAAGATTTCAACAGATGCAAAATGTGTTGGTCTAGGTATACTAAAATTGCAAAACCAAAAGTAAATCAGACAAAAATCGTGATTGCCTGGGTGAGTGCTAAAGTAATGCTACTTTCTTTTTGAAAAACAGCAAAAAGAGGCTTTGATAATCAACTATACTGAAATCTGATTTTACTGCCAGACTCAGAGTTGCTACTATTCAGCCCTGTGACCACACTGACTTTATCTCATAAGAAATGCACAGATGTCAGAATTAAACAGGACTAGGATGGATGCTGTGAGAGATTTGCAGACATTTTCTATAATGTTTTCCATGCCAAGGGAAGATTTGAGTAAGTTTCTAAGACAAGTCAAATATGTTATTAAAATCCCTATTTTATGAAACTTCAAACACAAATGAATGTTTGTTCTACTTCCTACTTGGAGTCTAGGAAGAGTCAGTTCATGAGTAAAGAGAATATTTTTACAACAAAGCTTCTCATCAGACTATAGACAGGGTGTATAAACTATGACTATTTGGCGTTGTTAACTGCTAAAATTCTTCTGTCCGTTTAATTACTGTTCTACCACATTAATTACACAATCAAACGAAGTCACAGCGTCCAATAACTCATAGCAGTTTTTAAACTCTGCTATTTTTTTCATATTAGTCCTACTTCCCCTCTACCTATAACTGTTATGTCCCTCCTGCTTCCACACAGAAATGGAAATGATTTATAAGTATATTGTTCTAAAATGCACAGCCTACTTTAAAACTATAGGGTAACCCGTAAGAATAAGGGAAAACTTATTTAATGAAGAACAAAAAGCATCTGACTTCAGGGAGGGGGAGGGGGAGGGGAGGGGGAGGGGGAGGGGGGAGGGGCAGCAGCATGAGGAATAGGGGAAGGGAAGGGGCAACTTTGTAACATCTGCCCATGTCTCCCCCATCTTGAAAATGCAAACTGGCTACACAAACAGCCACAAATTTGCCAACTGCTGTTGCTGCTATTTGCTCGATGTCCCAAGGATGGGTGGAATCTCTGGGCACCTTACTTAAAGTCATCCCTAAATGAATTGTTTGGGTGGGCAAAAAGCTAGAGTGACAACTGCCATCCAAGGCATTATTATTTTTTTTTTTTGAGATGGAGTCTTGCTCTGTCTCCAGGGTGGAGTGCAGTGGCGTACATCTCAGCTCACTGCCACCTCCGACTCCCTGGTTCAAGCGATTCTCCTGCCTCAGCCTCCCAAGTAGCTGGGATTACAGGCACGTGCCACCACACCCAGCTAATTTTTGTATTTTTAGTAGAGACGGGGTTTCACCATGTTGGCCAGGATGGTCTCGGTCTCTTGATCTTGTGATCCACCCACCTCAGCCTCCCAAAGTGTTGGGATTACAGGCATGAGCCACCCAGCCCGGGCCATCTGAGACATCTTAAGTCCATCCCCACACAAGTCTGCAGCAGGCTGAGTGAGCTCACAAGAGCTTCTAGAGGGGAAAAAAGCTGTGAGGTTCTGTGTGAGTGGAGGAACCCTCTCTCCATTCCTACCCCCTAAAAAACAACTAAAAGAAAATGGGTGGAATGTCACGGGATGGAGCTGTTCTTCTGTGACTGTAATCGTTAATTACTCATAATATTTAGAATATTTACATATTAATAGATTTAAAATGTTGATATCACCCCAGACTATGCTGTCTGGGAAGCTTTTCCTAACCATTGAGTTTTTGTCTATATTTAATTATTCAAGAAATGAATTTGCTGTTTTATATAAACACATATGTAGACATAAATATGTTCAATGTAAATGTGTGTGGGTCCATTGATCAGAAACACAATCGCATGGACTTACTTAAAAAAAAGGTCTGGAAGCAGCTGGGTACAGTGGCTCACGACTGTAATCCCAACACTTAGAGAGGCCAAGGTGGGCAGATCACCTGAGGTCAGGAGTTTGAGTCCAGCCTGGCCAACATGGTGAAACCCTGTCTCTACTAAAAATACAAAAATCAGCCCGATGTGGTGGTGCATGCCTGTAATCCTAGCTACTTGGGAGGCTGAGACAGGAGAATCGCTTGAACTTGGGAGGTGGGGGCTGCAGTAAGCCAAGATCACGCCACTGCACTCCAGCCTGGGCAACAGAGAGAGACTCTGTCTCAAAAAAATTAATTAAAAACAATCTGGAAGCTTTGTCCTTGAGATTCCATCTTTTCTCAAACCGGGCAGTGCACGTGGCTGTGACTCCCACATGGGCTACTCCTAAATCTAAATCCGTGTCAACCGGTACTAAAAACATTTGCCCTTGCTACTGACACTGCCAAGCACCCTCTGAGACTCCAATGGCAATGCTCAGCGTTCTTTTAAAAGTCACTTCCTCTATAATTTTAAAATTGTATTTGGATAACAGAGATAAGACACCTTTAGCCCCTTCAATTGTGCATGTGTGCATGTGTGTGTGTACACTGCAGAAGGTGAAAGCCAAGTCGGCCCTACCACAGGGTCAGAAGGGAGATGTGTGCCCATCTTTAGGGGGCAGAGCAGGCAGGTGCCTGGGACAGGGTGCAGGGGGTTCTGGGGGCTGGAAATGGGCCCTTCTTGACCTGAGAATAATTTTGTGACAAATTTTTAAGCCCAAGTATACTTTCATGTATGTTTCCATTCTTCAATTAAAAAAAAGAGAGAGAGATTAAGAACTTAACAAAAAAAGTGAGGTACACATTTACTTTCCCCACAAACTGTAAATGTTCTATTCTATAGCAGTAAACAGCACCCTTTATTCAGTGGTTAAAAATAAGACTCCAGCTCCCAAACAAGACTTCATTAAACCCTGACATAAGGCCCAATTTCTACTTCCACCTTGTTTCTAAATCACACAAAATGAGGCAAGGAACAGCCTTTGGTCACACTGGGAGCCTCCGGGCCAGCCTCATGCCCTCTATAACCAGGGAACAGCTCCTCCTCCTTTTGCTGCTCAAAGTTTGAGCAGGGCTGGGTGACCTACACTTCCCATCTATTAACTCATTTCATCCTCTCAGCTCTTCCATTTTGCAGGTGAGAAAAACCA